AAAAAACAAGGATGGGACCTCAAACGCACCTGCTTTCGGCTATAATTGAGCTGTTGTTTGGTTTGTGAATCTGACCCGCATTCGCATAAACATATCTGGGAGCAGTAGACCATTCCGATCCATTCATGTCCCGGTCCTAACAAACTCCGTGTTAACGGAATTAGAAAAAAGGAATCACAGAAAATGTGAAAGACCAAGCTTGCTCAAAAAACTCAGACGACTACACGGAATTTCGGAATGTTCTGAAACATAAGCCATATTCAGATTAATGTGTGGATCCTACACTGTCAAGAACTATGGCCGTATATGAAGAAATGCGACTCCAATTCCTTTCTATAATTGTAATGAAGCTGATTCAATCAAGAATAGTTCTAATAATCAAAGACACCGCACAGTTGCGGCAATGCCCGTCAAAATAATGAAGTAAAGAGTTTCAAGAGGACCGGATTCAAATTTTCGGAGAGAATGCACTAAGCTGTTCTGCCGAAATACGCAGTAAAGTGCGAAATTTTCCTAATTACTCAAGAAGGAAAGACTCGGTACGAGTCAGGCAGCAGAATGTCATGTTGCTGGAGCTAGTGCAGGCCATTAGATTCAAAGCGAAATCGATGCATTGGGCACAAGCAAGAGGCCGCAGGGCAACACAGGCACCGCCGGTGACGATGTTATTATGTCATGGAACCGACAAATTCGTAACTCACTCCGCTCGACGAAAGCATCAATCGAAAAAATGAAATGGAACGAAGGGAGCAGATTTTCGACTGGGTCCTAGCGGCAAGTTTATATGCTTTGTATAAGTAAATTATAGTCAGATGAACTAACTGACAGTCTTGCTATTTATGAAAACTGAAATATTGCCGACAGGTTTTGGCTCCGAGAATTCTCAAACAAAAAAAGTGCTAAGAACTATTGTGGCAATATACAATATGCTTTTGAGAAATGAATAATACTGTCAAAAGAAAGGGAACTGAATGAATTCATAAAAGAATAAAAATGGAGTTATCAGTGGCACAAAATTGCGAGAAAACACTCTTCAACAACAAACAACATGACCTCACAACGCCAAAAAACGAAATGCGATGTTCGCGATTGCAGCACGGTTTCGTTCTACCAGTAAGATAACACAGCTTAAGGCCAAAATTCTGCAGATATGCGCTAATCAATCGAATAAGTCAATAACTCAGAAACTCAGAAATACCCGGATCATCAGGTGTGTAGGTTTTGCACTATTAACTCAGTCGATTAAACATTAAAGAACATATTACCTTGCTTCTGCTGAGCAAAAAATCGAAGCGTAGTAATTCGCTCATAAACTTCTTTGATATGCAGATTAAACTTATGTGACACTAAGCAATACTTACTTCGATTCTTTTGTTCTCTCAACCCACAATTTCGCTCAAAAACCCACTTGACAAAAAATAGGAGGTGAAGGGTGCTTTCACAAAACCATGGAGACAACAAGAATGTAGGTAGGTTTTGTTTTCAAACGAGTTCCACAAATACGTGAATGAAAACTTAAGATATTGTATCGAAACAGTATATTGATAATAAGTTCCAAGTACACCGAAAGGCTACGGGCGATTGGAAGTGATTGAATTACACTTTTCAGTGGCAGCAAAGTTTTTAGCTGTCACCAACAGGAGTAAGCACCGTTCGGAAATCGTTTATTGTGAATGACCGCTGTCCACATAGAATAAAAGCAAGGAAAAAGAATCGCGCCATCATTGGTGTTAGAAATTACAGGGTGCGATGACATTATAGTAAAAGGTACCGACAAAACCTATGGCGTCTTTGATTCCCTCCCTAGATCACAAATTTGCAGTTCTCAAAACGGCTTTTCGTAAAGAATAGCACTGCCGATGTTTCTAGCCAGTACGCGATAGTTATGTCGTAAGGCTCTATCACGTAAATTTCCTAATTTGAATGTACACTTGAGACTATGATTTTCAGAACGCCGTTCACAGATATGGAAATTAAAACTGCCAAATGAGTTCCCAAAAAAGTCAAAAGGCTCAACATTCGCTTGAAGACAAGTTTACTCGAACGGCTGTCGGCATCAGAACAAGGGCCTCCGTATCGCAGAGGTAGTGCTTTCTCATGTCCGACGGAAGATACGGGTTTTCAACCCGCCGCAGTCGCAATTTTTGCATAGCGTGCTTTATTCACAATGGGAGCTTCCATAACCTTTCCCGATACTTCACACACCCAACAGTTGCATACTAATATCTCCCTCTGATATGGGAATGAAAAAAAAAACAAACGAATGAAAAAAAGGAAAAAAAATCAAAAGCTGTGGTTTAACGAAAAAAAAAAACGAAAAAAAAGAAAAAAAGAACGAGAATGGTTCGGTAAAAAGAAAACTATAGTATGATTGACTCTCGTTTACTTTCAACATCGAAACCATAAGAGAAATCTCTTTGGAAAAGTAAGAAAACCCATCAAAATCAAAAAAAGCAAAAAAGTTTAAAGGAAACATTTT